ATTTGACATTAAACGCTCTCGATGTCTCTAATAAAGCGTGTTTGTTTCTCAGCCAGTATCTCTTGTGTTGGTAAATGGCTGATTCAGTGTTTTTCCCGTTTACACTGCTGTGCTAACATGTAGATGTAGTCATAACTGAATGGTAAAACTTTCATGCTTGTCATGCTGGATCTGTTTCAATGGAACTAACAACCAAAGTTAGCTAACGATGCTTTTGGGAAACGCACCCCAGATGGGATGGTATCGCTGAAGCTACTGGTTTTTATCTTCTCTTCCTCATGCAGGTGTTGTGTGGCGGCGGTGAGTCAGATGTTGCAGTAAGTGCGTGTTCTCCACGCTGGAAGGGAGAGAAAGGCAATGGCACATTAAAGTGGTTTTCCCCGCACCCCCCGTAGAGGCCTTTGTATTACATAAAGCCTTGAGAACAGTTGTGTCATTGTTGTGAACGGAAAGGGTCTTCTGATGCTTGCACTTCTGAATATGATATGTGCACATGGAAAGCATGGACAAAAAACTGTGTTGAATTACCCATGTAGATGTAGTCATAACTGAATGGTAAAACTTTCATGCTTGTCATGCTGGATCTGTTTCAATGGAACTAACAACCAAAGTTAGCTAACGATGCTTTTGGGAAATGCACCCCAGATGGGATGGCATCGCTGAAGCTACTGGTTTTTATCTTCTCTTCCTCATGCAGGTGTTGTGTGGCGGCGGTGAGTCAGATGTTGCAGTAAGTGCGTGTTCTCCACGCTGGAAGGGAGAGAAAGGCAATGGCACATTAAAGTGCTTTTCCCCGCACCCCCCGTAGAGGCCTTTGTATTACATAAAGCCTTGAGAACAGTTGTGTCATTGTTGTGAACGGAAAGGGTCTTCTGATGCTTGCACTTCTGAATATGATATGTGCACATGGAAAGCATGGACAAAAAACTGTGTTGAATTACCCCGTCTGTACCAATCTGTCAAACCTGGATGCAGCTCGGTTTTCGTTTGACAGTCGCACCAACCAGCAACTCTGGACTTTCCCTGAAACTGGAGTTTCCACTTTGTTTTAACCTAATTATGTGTCTCTGCGGCCGCGCTGCTTAATGACGCTATTGTTTAGTGTTTGTGACGAGCAGCTCTTCTGAGAGTAACGAAAAGATGAGAGGGGAAGACAAAAAAGTGGGACTGCAGCAGTTCAAACGTAATACAATTAGTTAAAATCTGAGATACTTACAGTAAGCACAGTAAACATCACAGTTAGAAGGTTTAAAAAAAAAATCCTGTGCCTTTTTTTTCTGTCTCTGAGCTTGAAAATTAGTGCGCTCTCACTGTGGAAGAGGAAACGCATTCAGTTACAAAGTCTAGATCACTGCCATGCGTCTGAACATTTTACATCTTGCATTACAACTAATGTGCACACAACAAAATCAGTAAGCTGATATGGAGCACACCTGTAAATCAGGACATTCACAAGCTTCAACTTCTCACCCGCCTTGCTCGAGAGACTGTGGGCGGTGTCATTGTTTAATGCTGTTTGCTTTTTATAGATGTCACCAAAATTATGCTTTTATACACTTTGTATTGAGTTAATATTAGAAAGTGCATTGATGAATGTGAAAACGGCTATGTGTTGAGTTATGTGTGTGAGAGATTGAGTTATAGGTCAGTGCTAGAGGAAGTTCAGCATCGCCGCTGCGGGGTTCTTCCTGCGGCCGACCCGAGGGATCAGTACCTCGATAGTGCCAGATAACACAGGGTTTGTGTTGGAGCATTCGCAGAGACCCGCGCTCCCTTCACATCTCTTCTAAGAGATATTTTTATCCAGTTGACAGGAAGGTAAACCGAAGTGGCTTTTACTTGGACTTTCATTAATGTGCTCTACAATTTGACATAGCGCTGGAGAAGACTTGGGGTCAAGCATGCAAATTTATAAAAACAAAACCGGGAATCAGAATAACTTCCTCTCCCAAGAAAGTCAATAATTTATCATTCAGACTCGGCATATAGCCTAGTATGTAGAGTGGAGTGCTAAAATATGGAGCCTCACACATGACATGGCCACTGATTAAAATAAATTAAAACAAGGGAACGGATAAGTACAACTTGGCCACAATTTAACTAAAATAAGGGAACAGATTACTAAAACATGGACACAAATTAATAAGTCATGGGAACAAATTATTAATTTGTGGCCACAACATATATAGGCTATTTTTTCTGCATGTCGTGTGGGGCTCTATACTGAAATAATTTCAAGGGATAGTTCGGCCAAAAATAAAAATTATGTCGGCCTTTACTCCCTAAAGGCTTATTAGGAGAATCAGGAGAATTCCCGGCAGGTCGCTCATAAATTGGGCCGCCAGTGCCACTCAGGACATGGCAAGACCAAGTGTCTGGTTTATTTTCGATGAGAGACAGTGTCAATCGTTGTTCTTACACCCAAACGCAAAAAGATATTTAGCTCGCAGTATGTCATTTGAATTTGACTTTTAATTTGTATTTACAGTTTTTGTGCAGTTTGCTTATTCATATGTTTGAGTGCATAATCATTTGTTATGTATCTTTATGTTGTTGCTGAGACTTCTGGGTAATATATATAACAGGATCATCTTCATTTATCCAAGCTCTTTCACCACCCCAAAAAAAATGGGAGGAGGTAGGGTGGATGTGTAACAGGAGCTGTCCTTGGGCATTAAACTCCTGGGCTGAGAACGGGCTCCACTCCAGCCCTGACTCCCACTCACAACGTCAAGATATTTTGAGAAATACAACAAACAAACATTTCTTTCCGCATGTTGAGTTTCTATCAAGTGATATCTGTGACTCTCACATGACGACTTAAAGGTCAAACCTGAGCTGTGCTGATTTGATCTAGATCCAAACTTCAGTAGAAGTGAATCACAACAAGGAAGAAATACTTGAGACGTAATGATTTATGGCTGAAAACTAGATTGGAGCACATTCTTACGCTGTACTTTGGAAATGGCTTGAGTTTTGTGCAGCAGTCAGAAATGAGTAGAGCCATGCTGTTCTGAAGTTTAGGATTTTTGGAGAGTAAGCATGAAATGCTTTCTGTGTACAAAACAAATATTCCGAGTGTTGGGAACAGGCCCGGTGCTGCGGTGAGGTGGGGCGAGGGGGGTAATTGCTATATTAAGAGGAAGGAATTCAAAATAAAGTTAATCTCTCCATACCTCCATAGGCAGAATGAGCATGCTGCGTCTTGTTCAACACACAAAGCATATACAGAGATAGTGTAACTGAGACGAGGATGAAGGTTCTGCTGTGCCAGGATCCAGTTCAGCCCGGTTTAGGACCAGAACAGGAATGGGTTTGACTTGGCACTGATGCTGAGCAGAAGTACTCAGATGTATTCATGTGTGTAGGTTCCTAACAGTTCATGGGTATGCAGCTCTCTACTGTATGCTGTGTGTGAGTTTAACTAGTGCATTCCTCAGCCACCCGCCCTCCCATTGCGTAATGCTTCATTTTAACTCAACGACCACCTCACCTTGCTGCCAATTTTATGAAAGCTCCTCCTCCTCTCTCCTGCAAGAACTAAAACAAAAATGGCAGTGGTCTCATCCGTAGTCTTTGATATTGCTCATAATTTTACTACTGGTGAAGTCTTAGTAATATAAGACTATTTTTGCATCATGTGCATGAAACAAAATGTTTGAGTCAGGTAATTGCGATAATTCCAACAGCTCTAAAACTCCTCTGAGCTTTGAGGTCTCAACTGAGCTCTTGTCATGGTCTAGCGCAGGGATGGGCATCTCCAGTTCTGGAGGGCAACTGTCCTGCAGAGTTTAACTGTATCCCTAATTGAACACACCTGCCTGTAATTTTCTAACAATCATGAAGACTGAAGACAGGCGTTCTTGATTGAAGATGAAGCCAAACTCTGCAGGACAGCGGCCCTCCAGGACTGGAGATGCCCATCCCTGCGCTAGACCATGACCATCTTTGGTCTGGCAGTTACTATGTTGCTCCAACATATTAAGTCATGGCACACATGACTGAAGACATTTCTCAATCCTGTTCTCTCTGCATCATTTTCCTGTCTTGTCTTTCTACTGAACCTGTCAATAAAATTGGTTAAAAGGACAGAAATTAAATGAAGTTAAATCAGGGGTGTCCAGACCTGCTCCTGGAAAACCACTGTCCTGCAGAGTTTAGCTCCAACCCTAAATAAACACACCTTAACCAGCTAATCAAGATCTTACTAGGCAAGCTAGAAACTTCCAGGCAGGTGTGCTGAGGCGAGTTGGAGCTAAACACTGCAGGACACAGGCCCTCCAGGACTGGACTTGCCCAACTCTGTTCTGGCATTTAGTGCGGTGCTCCAACATATTAAGTCATGGCGCACGTGTAGGCAAAGACATTTCTCAGTCCTGTTCTCTCTGCATAATTTTCCTGTCTTGTCTTTCTACTGTACCTGTCAATAAAAGTGGTAAAAAGGACAGAAATCAAATGAAGTTAAATCAGGGGTGTCCAGTCCTGCTCCTGGAAGGCCACTGTCCTAAAGAGTGTAGCTCCAACCCTAATTAAACACACCTGGACCAGCTAATCCGAGTCTTACTAGGCATACTAACTAGAAACTTCCTGGCAGGTGTGCTGAGGCGAGTTGGAGCTAAACTCTGCAGGACAGTGGCCTTTCAGGAGCAGGACTGGACAAGTTCCAAGTGCGGTTCTTAGGCCAGTGTTTCCCAGCTGAATCAGGTGTGTTTGATTACTAAGACATGCAAAATGTGCACTGCTGTGGAGGCCTTAGGAACCACTGTCTTAGGCTACCAGCTTCAGTGGCTGCAGCTTTCAAGCTGGTATTTCATAAAATGTTACATTTGAAATATTTCTAAAGTTCATTGAATGTCGATTGAGATGTTTGACCATTGCTCTATCTCTCCACAACAGATCTGTCATTTACCCAAATGTATATGACTTTGCTTTTCACTCTGCCAGATTCAATTTCTAGAAAGGTTAGTAATGTATCCCTTCTGTTTCTGCCCTTGCCACAGTGGGTCTACCCTGACTTCGCGTTGCGCTTCCTGAAGAAAGGAAAAGCCCTGATGTGCTTGTCACCCGAGCTGATGGCCGGGGCTGTGAGATGGAGCCCGAATGTCTTCACTCAGTCCCTCTTCAGACACTCAAAGGCCGCTCTGTTTCAGCCTGATGACGAGCCGATTGGATATAATCTTGAGCGGCGGACTCAGGAGATGGGGAGGGATAGGGAAACGCTACAGTAGTCTTTGCAGGGAAGGATCGTCTTTCTCCAGAAGTAGGAAACGAGCGTCGGAGGGTTTCTGCTGCCAGTCGGCTCGCTCCTCCTGTTATGACATGGGACCAAATTCAAACCATGTGTCCTCGCACCCGGTTAGCTGCTTTTGCCCACCTCTAGCATTAGCAGTCTGGACGGATCCATTTCACTGCCCCTCTCCCATGCGGCGTTCTCATTCTCCCAGCCCCAAATGAGTCTCTCCGTGGGACTCCTGGCTTAATAGGCTGGAACTTTCCAATGTCCGGTCTCCGAAGGTGGCTGTTATCCTCCGAGGGCCCCTGTGCGAGTTTCAAGCTCAAGCTCATGTTATGGGGTGAGTACAGTAGCCCACCTCCAGGGTCAAAGGTCACTTCCCTTTCAGATCTTTGCTTAAAGATGTGTTAAATACGTGAAAGGACTGGATGTGTTTTTGGAATATCTTTTTGCTTAAATATGCAGAACTAATGTGCCATATAGTTGGGAGGGGGAAATATTTGCTGCCTGCTGATCTGTCATCACTTGAAATGTGTATTTATGTATTCTTTGAGAGAAAAAAGGGAGGGAAGAATTTGGGGGATTTACCACACAGTACATAGCTTGCTCAGATGACCATTTTGAGACCTGTTTAATGGACAGCCTTCAATCTCCGTGGAATATGGCTAAGCACCATGGACAGCGTAATGTCCTGGTTTTGATAGCAGAGCCATACTATGTGGGCAGGGTTCCTCAAATCTGGCCCTGGAGAGCCACTGCCCTGCGGAGTTTAGCTCCGGTCCTAACCAAACGCACCTAAGCAAGCTAATCAAGGTCTTTAGAGTTATTAGAAAAATACAGGTAGGGTGAGTTTAATCAGGGTTTGAGCTAAACCTTTGAGGAACCTGCTATAAAGAAAGAAGGACTAGGTAAGAACTTCCAACAGGAAAGGCTAGTACAATATGAATATGTCAAGAAGTTTTCTCACTCTTACTGCTGTTGTGGTGGTTAGATGAACTTGGCTTTTCTATGACTCAGTGCTGCAAAAGTCCAGCAATCTCTTGACCTTGAATGGACAGACAAGAGTGGACAGCATGTTGAACTTTGTTCATGAAAGCAAATTATGTTTTTGTTCCGGTTTAACGGAAGGTCGTGTTAGTTACTTGCGTACTTTATGATAGCTTTGTGTATCGAGGGAGGGCGATGGGCGGTTTGAGAGCCAAGGCCCTTTCTGGTGTAAGGTCAAAACAGGTCACCGCTAATGCTCAAAGCAGTTTTTTGTCTAAAAACACACATGCACACACCTTAATCTAGTATCTAATATCACAAGTACATAGTTTTGTCCCCAAAGTTAAAAAATGTTTCTTTTATCTTAAAGAGCATTTCATAGTGAAGGTTTGTGATTTGTGAGGTACACCGAGAGGTTACTGCCTACTGCTGCTCATAGATCTTTCCATGCATCGAAATGCATTAAATTGCATAAAGATTTATGCATTTCCATGCATTAAATTGCGACAGTAATTTGTTACGATAGCCAAAAATAAAACCCGTTGAATTAGGGTGAAACCAGTGAGTGATTACTATGTGCGTAGTCTTTGTGTAAATGCCAGTCATCTGTCCTGGCACACAAAGACGCGCTGCTACATTGAAATGTTTGAAACCAGTCTGTCCTGTGGCCTCTCTCTCTCTCCGTTTCACTTCCTCTTGTCTTCAGCAGAACATGTGGAGTTGTTGCAGTGATGCACGTGTTGTTATTGGAGTCGGTGTGCTTGTGATCATGTCTTTCTTCCTGACAGGATCCACGTCAATGTGTCTGCTCAGCACGATGAGCTCCGTCTCTGCTCTCGTTAGCAGATCAGGTGTCTTGTTCACACACAGATGTGTCTCGTAGCTTTACGTTGAGTGTGTGTGTGTGTGTGTTGATGGGAGGCTTTTAATGGAGACACTCTGAGTAAATGTGCAAGGATTATGTGTGAAGACAAGGCTGCTTTTATCTGAGAAGCGCTGGCGTACCTGTGCTGTGTTTGATCATGCCTAACCCCCTCCGCATCCCAGCGCTCCTCTGATCCCTCAGCTCGGCATTCCTCTCGTAACAGTCAGCCACGGTATGTCCCTGTGTGGAGTACTGTACTCATTACTGGATGGGAAAGATGAAAACAGCCAGGCCATTGTACATCGAGAGCGCTTCTGCCCTGAAGGCTTCAGATTTCTCCTTACCTGTCACAAAAATCCCCAAGTGCCGGGTGGATGCATATAAAGTGATATCAGCTCTGCTCCAGACGAGAGGTGCCTACCTAGGCAACATTTCACGCCTGAAGACCTTTTCAAACAGTAGGCAGCAAAATTATGCTACATTAGAAGTAACATTTCTTACATTGTGTGATGTCTTTAAAGGATTAGTTCACTTTCAAATTAAAATTTCCTGATAATTTACTCACCCCCATGTCATCCAAGATGTTTATGTATTTCTTTCTTCAGTCGAAAAGAAATTAAGGTTTTTGATGAAAACATTCCAGGATTTTTCACCATATAGTTGGTTCAGTCAGAAAAGTTCATTTTCAATATTTTGTCATTAGAAGTTAGAATAAAGTAGCGCTATCTGATTAAAAATGTAGGGTAGGATGACCTCCCCAGCTTAATTTGTTTATCTCAGCAATTTTGATGAATGACTACGCTATTCTCACTTCATCTGAATATCAACATTTTTGAGATTTAGTCAGTCAAAGCAGTTTTGAGGTTAACTGGTCTAATTGTGTGTCTCTGGAAAATAGTGATCTATGACATTACGTTATGTTGAATATCAAAGTTTTTGTTGTTAATGAAGGATCTGTGGACACAATCAGTGCTTTTAGATTTGTGGAGTAAAAGTTGCAGCTTTTATTTTGAAATAAAAAGTTAAAATTATACCCTTGGGGTAAGATGACTCTCCAGAACTTGCACGGAAGCCCCGAAGTGACTGGTGTCTGTTTTCCTTTGCATATTTCACAACATGCGATTTAAATTCAGTTTGTGCTGTAATTGGCAACTGCTGACTTATAATCAGGAATATACAGCATTTCTCTGCTGATTAGCGTTCAGTCGACTGGACTCTATTGGAATCGGTTACATTAGCTTCACAATATCAGTTTTCTTTGTGTGACCACTGATTCCATGGAATAGCATCGTTTTTGTGTAAATATACAATGGTAATACCGTGGTGTTTTTTGAGTACCGTGTAAAAACCGTGGAATGCAGTGGTACTTCCACTGTACTTTTAATGGCGGTATTGTGTAACCTTTAAAATTATAAATATAGTATTAAAAACACATGCATACATGCAGACACCTCTTGCTTTTAATAGAAAATTGCAGACTTTATTATAAATATCTTTGCACTACATTTTACTTTTAGTAGCACTTTATTTTACGGTATAGTCACTAAATTATGCGTAATTATAATTACAAACGAAGCTTAAACCAAACCTACACCTAACTCTAACCCTATAGTAAGTACATGGCGTTTGTTAATTAATGTTACTTATTACTTGTTTAATTGCACCATAACAAGCACACCTTAAAATGAAGTGTAGCCAAACTCTATTATTATTAGTATGGCTACTTATGGCTTCAGAAGACTCGGAATATAGCACACAATTCATTCGGATACTTCCAGTGTTTTTTGTCCTATTTCACTGGCGTTACTACACTGTTTGTAATTTTTTGTTTTTGAGCACATGCCTATCTTGACATCCGGATGAGTGAAGGTTTGACGACATACCAAACTGGAAAGGGCCCGGCTAGAGCAGCTGAAACACACACGGTTCTGCAGGACGGCATTGCATGCGAGATCTTTCCTTGAGCAGAACAGCCATTGATCAGCAGCCGCTTGCATTCAGAAGACAAAGAGTCGCAAGCCTTGCAGCTCAGATTGATGTGCGGTCAAAGCTGTAAATCTGTCATCCGCAGTGAATAATACAGGAAGATTCAGATTGTGTTCTGAAGTCTTTAGGCGTTAAATGTTCACACAAGGCAGAGAAGCACCTGTGGTAGCTGGCACCCAGAGCCCTCCAACCGTGGCACTGCACAGACATGAAGTTTATGTCGTTTCTGTCGGGGCTTGTCGCAGACGCACACACAACAGTGAGCGATAAATCAAGAGGCCAACGGATTTCAGTCTCTTAAACGCAGACGAGTCCTTTCTGCGCACCGCTCATGCACAGCATGACACACGCCGAAACGGCACAATGACTGTGATTGTCTGAGCTGTCAGTCTCAGGGAAGGAAAACCGGGGTTGTGGTGAACCCAGGTACACAATAAAGGTGGAAGACGGGGCTCTGGATCCCATTGTGGGTTCACCACGCCAGCCGCCCGCACACTCGCTTCCCTGTTCTGTCAGAGCGCTTCTGCCCTGCGCGGTCCTCTGTCAGAGCTTTAACACACGGCCCATTGTCTCTGGGCTGTCCGCTGAGCGGGTGTTCCCGTCCTGTTGACACGGGTGACCCGTAATCAGTGGCTGTGCTGCTCAGTCTCAGATCCGTTTCCATTCAGAGCCCGCATTAACAGACTACAGTCGGATTGGGCGCAAGCGCTCAAGATGATATAATCAAAGGAATTTTATACAGTGCAGTTATGTAATTTTACAGTTTCCTGCTCGGGTGTTCTATTTTAAAAAAACGTGCCACTTGTAAAGCACACTCATATATATACATAAAACCAATCTTAAGTCGCTGGGGTATATTTGTAGCAATAGCCAACAATACATTGTATGGGTCAAAATTATCAATTTTTCTTTTATGCCAAAAATCATTAAGATATTAAGTAAAGATCATGTTCCATGAAGATAGTTTGTAAGTTTCCTACCGTAAATATATCAAAACTTAATTTTTGATTAGTAATATGCATTGCTAAGAACTTCATTTGAACAACTTTAAAGATGATTTTCTCAATATTTAGATTTTTTTGCACCCTCAGATTCCAGATTTTCAAATAGTTGTATCTCGGCCAAATATTGTCCTATACTGTATATATATATGAGCAATATCACTCGAGTACGAGAGCGATACCGGGGCTATATCAGCATGGCTGTGATTAGGCCAGAGGCAATCACAGCCGCTGATATAGAGCAGGTATCGCTCGAGTACGAGAGTGATATTGCGTTTATACAACAGTTCGACGGCACAAGTGTAAATATATATGAAAAACAACAACGGAGTGTCTCTGCCCGAGGTTATGGCGCTCTCGGCGGGTTCATGAGCGCTGAGCGGCCCCGGACGCCCTGGAGCTCACGTCTCTGAAAACGTCGACGCAAATGTTCAAATAGACGTTATCTTTATTAACAAACCGTAGATTTGAAGTCTAAACAAGTACATTCTCGCCTAAAAA